TATATATATATATATATATATATATATTGTAAATTTAGTTCGTTGGACATCTGTTTGTAAGTTTAGGTCCCTCTGGTCTGGGGTTTGATTCCTTCCAAGTGTAGGGTGCAGTACTTGAATTCTTAGACGTACGAGGGTTGAATGGGACTCATATAATAGCCTCCGATCATTCCTTTAAAAAGAATATATATATATTTGTAAATTTATTTTCTTTTTCTGTCTCAGCCTTTTCCCAAACTCCTCCTTGTTTCCGCCAAAACAATCTCCTTCTTGACCTAACAATAGGGGTGTAAACGAGCCGAACACGAGCGAGCGCTCGTTTATATTTCGAGCTCAAAAAGTGTGTTCATGTTCGGCTCGTTTGCTTAGCGAGTCGAACACGAGCCGTTCACTAACAACGAGTCGTTTTGACAACCCTAATCACATAGCTATAAATTGTTAAAGATTGAGATAAGATTTAAAACATCATTTGAATCTAAAAACATCATTTGAATATAATTTAATAAGTTTTATTCTATTTTCTTCATTAATACTTTTAAATGATTATGTTTTTTTTAAAAATAGTACTCATCAAATATATATATTATTTTGAAAAAGCCCAACATATAAATGGAATGGTCGAGGCTATTATACGAGCCCCGACCACCTCTCATGCGCCTAAGAATTCAAGTATTACACCTTACACTCGGAGGCGGGGAAATCAAACCCCAAACTAGAGGGGACTTACAAATGACAAGCAGATGCTCTACCAACTAATCTGTTGTTGTTAGATATATATATATATAGAAATATTCATATATATATATATATATATATATTATATGTTATTTAATGTTTCAAGTTTTTTAGTATTTCATAGTAGCATAATCGATAGTATTTATAGTCAAAATGAGCTAAAAAAACAACGAACAAATATGTATAGCGAAGGAGCTGATCACGAGCTTCTTTCGTTCTGACAGCCCTACCGAAAAAGTCGAGATATAGTCGCAAATCGCAATTAGAGCTAACTGAGGAAGGCAACGGCGGGATATCGGCGTACAGAGGTCCGAAACGCCCATCTTTCCTCTCCTTCCCCACTGCTCCTACCCGAAACCATGTAGGCAGGTGAAGAAGGATGGTAACTTCACATCTTTTTCGCGCTGATCGCCCGTCCCGGATTTACTAAATCTATGATTTACTGCCGAAATCAGTAAACTCCGGATTTATGAAATTAGCGGGTTTAGTTTGTCCATATTGACCGTCTGGCAGGATTTAGGTCAAATCCAGGTTAAATCCCGCTCTAAATCCCTTACCAGACAGCCCCGAAGTGTTTTGTTTTTCTCCTCAACCATAACCCTAGAGCAGTCTTTACTTTGCCTGTCGGCATCCATGGCGCTGAATCTACGGCAGAAACAAACAAGTATGTCTACTTTTTTCACCGTTTAGATCTTGTCACTCGGATTTGATTGGCTTTCCAGTTTTATCTGTTTTGTTCTGCAGGCTGCATCATCAGAATGCTGAATCTGAATCAGCAGCCAAATTCGGCCTTCGCCGGCTCCGCCACCGAGGAGGTCTACAAGATCCTCATTCTCGATCGATTCTGTCGCGATATACTCTCTCCATTGATCCGTGTCAAGGACCTCCGTAAGCACGGGATCACTCTCTATTTTGTCATAGATAAACAACGACAGACCGTCCCCGACGTCCCAGCGATCTACTTTGTCCAACCCACACCGGCCAACATCAGCCGGATCGTGGAAGACGCCTCTCGCTGCCTTTACGAGAGTTTCCACCTCAACTTCTCCTCTTCCCTTCCTCGACCCCTTCTTGAGGAGCTCGCTGCCGGGTCTCTCAAGGCTGATTCCGTCAGTCGGATCTCCAAAGTCTATGATCAGTATCTGGAATTTGTGACTCTAGAGGAAAACCTCTTCTCTTTAGCGCAGCCCGATATCTACGTCCAGCTCAATGATCCTGCCGCTGGAGACCAGGAAATCGAAGGCATCGTGGAGAAGATAGCCGGTGGGTTATTCTGTGTTCTTGTTACGCTTGGTGTCGTGCCTGTCATCCGGTGCGCAAGTGGTGGCCCTGCCCAGATGGTTGCCGCTGCCCTTGACACGCGTTTGCGTGACCACTTAGTTACAAAGAACAATCTTTTCTCTGAAAGTGGAAACCTTATTAGTTCATTCCAGAGACCTGTGCTCTGTTTATTTGATCGAAATTTTGAGTTGGCAGTTGCGTTGCAACATGACTGGAGCTACCGGTCACTGGTGCATGATGTCTTTGATATGAAGCTCAATAGGATCAGTGTACAGGGGGAGAAATCTCAAGTAAAATCCTATGAATTGGATGATTCAGATCCGTTCTGGGTTTCTAACAGTTGGTCTCCTTTTGAGAAGATTGCACTAGAAATTGATAGTCAGCTGAACAAATATAAGCAGGATGTGGAGGAGGTGAACCGGCGTACAGGTGGGCAAAAAGGGGCTGAATTTGATGGCACCGATTTGATTGGAAACACAAAGCACCTGATGAATGCTGTTAATTCACTTCCGGAGCTTACTGAGAGGAAGAAGGTGATTGACAAGCACACAAATTTAGCCACAGTGCTGTTGGGTGAGATCAAGAATAGGGCTTTGGATTCTTTTTGTAGTTTAGAAAGTGAGATGTCAGGTAAGGGTACTGTGGATAAAAATCAACTTCTTAGTCAACTTAAAGATAAAGGTACAAAAGAGGATAAGCTTCGGCTTGCCATAATTTACCTGCTCTCCATGGAGACAACCCCACAATCAGAACTTGAATCAATAGAAGCGGCTTTGAGGGAGTCTGAATTGGATACTTGTGCATTTCAGTATGTGAAGAAGATCAAATCTTTGAACATGTCAATGAATTCCTCTGTGGTCTCTGCCAGCAAGAGCAACATTGTGGATTGGGCTGAGAAGCTGTATGGACAGTCCTTGAGTGCTGTGACTGCTGGTATGAAGAATCTGCTGTCAGGAGCGCGGCAACTAGCTCTTACAAGAATAGTTGAAGCACTAATGGAAGGGAAACCAAATCCTGAAGTGGATTCCTACCTATTATATGATCCTCGTGCACCAAGATCCGGAACTGGAGCACAGTTGAAGGGTCCATTTAAAGAAGGGATTGTTTTCATGATAGGTGGAGGTAATTTTGTAGAGTACAGGTGCTTGTTGGAGCTAGCACAGCGCTCACAGCCCACAAAGCATATCATTTATGGTACAACTGAAATACTCAACGGTGTGGATTTTGTTCAACAACTTCAAGTTTTGGGTCAAAAGATGGGTTTAGGAAATACTGGTATAAACCCATCCCATTGAGATATGAGAATTCACATTTTGTTCGCCTTTTGGTTTTATTGATTGTGGTTGGAAGTTCATATATTATTGGAAAATATAAGTTAATTTCTGGGCTAAGCATAGTTGAAGTTCTGAAGGTGGCATCAGGACTTTTTGGTCGATGTTGATTTCAGTTAGCAGCTTATGCCTTGCCTTGCACCTACTTTTGATCATTTTAAGTGAAATATGGTTCGCACTTATTTATCCCCTTACTCTTCGTGCCTGCTATTTTTAATTAATTTGGGATAAGAGATTTGTTATGCTAGAATTTGCTCTTACGAATTAGTAATTTTGATGTTTTGAGTTTGCATCTTGCCTTCCTATTCTTGCGGGTTTGTATTTTTTTATTCCTTATTTCATGAGCTAAGGGTGTCTTTGAACCTTAATTACTAATTGAATATAACATTACATTATGACTTGTTTGCTGTTTTCCTTTGCAAACTGTAGTCTTACCTCTTCGAGGCAGTTGAAATAAAATTTCTTATTGGCTGGGTTTTTTATTACTTAAAGATCACTCCAAAATTTTTCCCTTTGGTGTAGAATGGTTTTCATTGCTATCATTGTCATTGCAAAGATGTCAGTACATGGTTCTTTTCATTGAAATCATTTTGCTATTGGTCAGCTTTGTTTTTGCAATTAAAACTAAATCAGCTATCATGTTGCATGATTTTGTAATCAAAACTAAATCAGTTTTCCTGTAGCATGATTTTTTTAATTAAATGTCGAGCTCAATGTGCAATTAGACATCTAACACCTAAACCCCCTTTTTACGTGCCTACTACACTAAACTAAGAACGATAAACAAAAACACCATCCTACCGGTGCAGTAACTCCTCTGCTGTGACCTCTACTCCAACTCTGTCCATTAGGACCCTAGATGAAGCTTTCCCGCATGAGAGAAAACCTATGACAGCTCACTCATTCTTTTCTGCTTCACTCAACGAACAAGCTTTCTGGTTGAAGGCCCGGCGAGGGAACAGGAGATGTTGGGTATTTAGCTAAGATGAGGGCTTTCATTGGGGAAGAAGGACAGACCTTGCACTCCTACTCACTGGAAACTGGAGCAGGATGCAGGCGAGGAGTCAAAAATAGGTGCCGGCGTCAGGGAGAGGCATCGGGCTGTGGCGAGGGGAAGAGACAATCTGTTCAGTGAGAAAGCTTGGAGCAAATCTCTACAAGGTACGGAATTTGTTGCTTGTGGTAGGGTGAGTCGGAGGAGCAGGCGATCTCACCATCGAGGGGACGCCGGAAGGGATCACGATGATTTCTTGCGTTTTTAGTTTAGCTCATCAGCTTTTAAAGCAATCTTTCATGAGCTTATGAACAGTATATTGCATGAAATCAATGCTTTGATAGTGTTCTAGAACATAAAGATATGTCAGAAGAATCTTGAAAGGTCGATGAATTGGAATAGTGATGGCAACTCTATTCCAATAAAAAACTATGGTACCACTGCTGCATAGAAGTTGATAATTTTCTTAATAAAAAGCAAGAGATCTCGAGACTTAGTTGCAGAACTAGACGGAAGGTATTGATCCCTTACTTTGAAATTTAACTTGTCCTGGAAAGTCATGGTATTTGACATATGCCTCACAAACCAAGTGAGTCGAGGCTAATTATTTTGGTTGAACAGATGACTATACATTTGAACATAGTTGAAGGACAAGGGAGACTCATAAGAACGAAGAGCGTGAAGCATGAAACTCTTAATAACTCGCCCTAGTGATTTATAATCTAATATTGGTCCATAATTTCCTTAGTGTGATAATCTATCATAGTTGAAGGACAAGGGAGACTCATAAGAACGAAGAGCGTGAAGCATGAAACTCTTAATAACTCGCCCTAGTGATTTATAATCTAATATTGGTCCATAATTTCCTTAGTGTGATAAGTTATGCATTATAAAAGCAAGAGATCTTGAGACTGAGTTGCAGAACTAGAAGAAAGGTATTGATCCCTTACTCTGAAATTTAACTTGGCTTGGAAAGTCATGGTATTTGACATATACCTCACAAAACAAGTGAGTCGAGGCCAATTATTTTGGTTGAATAGATGACTATACATTTAAACATAGTTGAAGGACAAGGGAGACTCGTAAGAACCAGGAGAGTGAAGCATGAAACTCTTAATAACTCGCCCTAGTGATTTATAATCTAATATTGGTCCATAATTTCCTGAGTGTGATAAGTTATGCATTATAGCAGCATGTAGAAGTTGTCTTAGAAAGCCTTCTGGGCTGCTCTTAGAGCCATTAAGTTTCTAAGAATCTTGGATCCAAAGCAGGGGCAGTACAAGATTATTTTGTATTTACTAAACAAATGTGCCACGGGAAGTTAGCCATCTCTGATTAGAGTGTTGTAATAACCTGCAGTTAATTCAGATGAATGGAAATGAGGATAATGGCAGCATACTCCTCTACTACTTTTAGAAGGCTCCCCACGCCACTATTTGGGCACCTACGCGTCAGGTTATAGAGAGGGCAACACTCTCATGCCCAGGAGGGGCGCGCTAGTCGCAGTTGGCTCTTTGATTCGGTTTAAATCCTTCATTCCGAGCGATGAAGTGGCAAATCTCTTTGAGTGTAGTGTTTTGTCAAGAGTTATTGTGAATCGGAGAAGTGTCGGAGAGGAGGATTGTGTTTTTTCTCTTGTGAGTTTGAGAGAAAGGGTTTGGAGCGAAGTTTTGTAAATTACAACAATTTTAGAGAGGAGATTTGAGTTAGTGTTTTACTCCCTTATGACTTTCATGGCGGAAATTTTTTGCTGTGTGGCTCTGTGATTTTTTCCTGTTATCAGGTTTTTCACGTTAAATAGTGGTTTTTTTTTTAATTGTTTTTTTGGTGCTTCCATTCGAAAATTTTGTTCTGATTTTCTGAAGTTAGTACGATCATATTTTTACAGTGCGGTTTTGATTCTAATTTAATCGAAGCCCTAGTAAAAGTATTGGGCGACTTTTCATCATCCCAAAAGTTTATTATTTTTACAAATGCAAAAAACGAAGTTTTGTTGTTATATATGTAAATACATATAAATTGACTTTTCATTTTCTCCAAGTAATTCATATGAATAGGCATATAAGTAGCATGTGTTTATGGGGCATTTACATCCTACCCAATTCATACGTTGGAATGTAAGAATCAATCATTTGCAGATGGTGAATCAACAACAATTATTGCTCATTTTGACACCATTTTACGGTAAATGATAAGATTTTAGTATTACATAGAATTTTGTGCTCAGAAATAACTAGTAGTTTAAACTTGACATATTATCAACTGATAAAATTTTCAACTCGTTCTTAATCATTTGTTGCAGCATCGTAAGCTTTTGGCTCCGCAATATGTATTTTTCCACCAATAAATGTTTTCCTTTGAATAGCTTTTCCAACATGTTGTTTTCCTCTTGAAAGTAAACCTTTCTTCACACTACATTCCTTTAGTACTGTTTCCAACAGATTGTTTGCTCAGATTCATCAATGTATCTGCAGTAAAAATCACTATTTTGCATCTAAGCATCGGCGCGTGAACATGCCTCCAGTGCTTCTCTATTGGAAAAGATGGTTTTTTCTGCATATTATAGCACATCTTTCAAGTTAATTCTGTGGCATTTACATACATAACACCCATTCATATGTATTTATAAATCTGACACCTAAATTTTAATTTATCCATTCATAACATCCAAAACAATCATATGACATAAAAAATATCATTCAAATAGTAGCCACTACTACATGTCTAGTAGAACAGATAGAAAAATAAAATAAGTTAATACTAAACTTTCTTAACAAAACAAGCAAGCACTTTAACAGCAACAATACAAGAAGTGATCACCAGAGAACAAGAAGATTTGAAAGCCTGGAGCTTGCCAAACACAAAAACAGTCATTATAAGGTATCTTTGAGGAACTAAACAATATAAATTTTCTGTTCTTCATCATTACAGGAAGCATAGAGATGTTCCATAAAAGCCATCTGACCAAGAGATTGGTGGGCTCACATGTAAGGCCTGGAGCAATACGAATTAAACAAGAACAGGAGCTGCATTTTCATCTTTCTGTACAAAATAAGCACTGCTCATTGATATTTGGTAACAGCCACAGCAACCAAAGAACTTGGTGCAGCACATAGTCGTGCTTCTTCCACAACAAACCCAGCCACTACATGAAAAAATAGAGAAAAAAATAGAGAAGACGGACAAACCATTCCCATCACCGTGGCACACTGTAAAAGGTGAGGGAAAATGCCAAAACCTTTTTTCGCCTCGATTTAGAGGCACAAAAAGTTCTCTTGCTGCTTTATCTACATCATTCTCTGAACACCAAGATGGAAATTCAGATCTTAATCTGTCCCTTAGTTCACCCACCAATTTCTTCCATCCATCAGGCAGTTCGATCAACTTCGTTTTGGTGTATTACAATACAGGGACTCAGAAACTTTAAATTTTGTGTTCTATTTATATTTCCGCAATATAGAGAAAGAGGTGGACTAAGCAAATGGTACTTTCACAGAATTAAAGTGAGAATTCCATGCCTGGTTCAAAGTTTCATTATTCTGGAAGAACAAATCCAGGCTCTGTTGGTATTTCTGTCTCAGCTCCAAGAGCTCTATTTTCTTAACTGAATTAATTTCGGTAAGCCTCCCATTTGTTAGTCTCTTGCAATTAGCCTCTGGTGGCTCATTATCTGAAGAGGAATAGCCGTCCTCTAAGCCATCGAGCATGGCCAAGTCATCATACTCTTCAGCTGAGTTAGTTGATTTTTCATCCACTGAGCCCTCCACCTGAAAAAAGAAATAGCTTTTCTTGTAGATGAGTTTGAGGAATACGAAAACGGAATAGTGAAGCTTTTTATATCTTGTGTAATTTTAGAAGAAAAAAAAACAATAATGGTTGTTTTGTGCAAAATAATACCCTACAAAACAATGCAGGCCGGCAAAGCATGACGTCATTTTAGTCCCAGAGTCTATAAAAGTGTCAGACGAGTCCCCAAGCTCTTTGAATTAGGAATTAAATAGTACCCTGTGGAGATTATTTCAGCTCATATTAAAAGGGTATGGGGATTAAGTTGACACTATAAATTTTGGGGACTAAAATGATCTCCTACAAAAGAAAATATATTGACAATTTTCTCTATCCACATATATCCCCACTTGCAACATATAGCCTGTAACTAATCAACAGCTTACAGACCAAAATACATAAGACCAAAATACATAATGGCGAGGTAGCAATTATACACTTACACACAAAAATAATTAAAAACAAGCAATAAATTAGCCACGATCATTTGGCCTCAAAGCAGAGTGAGTAGTTTAAGGGTCTGTTTGGGACAGCTTCAACTTATCAATTGGCTATTGCAACTAAGCTGCCTAGAAAGTAGTTGTGAATAAGCTGAATGGCTGTTTGTTTTCTGCGGTTTGAAAATAGCTGCAAGACAACTATTTTGGACAAATGATCATTATGCTCATTTGCAGTAATATTGTTTGTAGCATAATTGTCAAAGTCAACAAACATATAATAACAAACAAGCATCACAAGCCTCCATAGAACCCTCACCCCAAGCCACAACCCAAAAACATCATTCCAACCCACAGCCACCACCACAAGGCACAACCCAAAACCATCACCCCAAGCCACAACCACCACCGCGATCCACAACTTCTACCCTAATCCACAACCACCACTTTTTGGCCCAAGCCATAGACCCCTCTCATCTCAAGCCACAGCCACCAACCCAAGCCAAAGCCCAAAACCATCACCCAACCCACAGTAACCCCAAGTCACAACCCGAAACCATCACTCTAAGGCACATGCATCACCCGAAGCCACAACCACCACCCCAATCCACTACCACCACTTTTTGGCCCAAGCCACAGCCACCACCCCAAACCATAACCACCACCACCTCAATCCACCACACCAAGCTACTTGCAACACAACTCTTAGGTATTTACAAGTCTAACAACTAAAATTTTATATTTACATGCATAATACTCAATTCTGCACAACAAAAAAACCACCTTCGCCAATGTTTAAGGAGCATTTTGATACATGTCATACAATTCTTATGTATTTACATATCTAACAACAACAACAACAAAGCCTTAATCCCACTACGTGGGGTCGGCTACATGAATCCTTTTTCTCCATTGCGTCCTATTTAGTGTCATATTTTCATTTAGTTCTAGTAAATTAAGATCATTTTTAATACAATAAGCCCAAGTCTTCCTAGGTCTACCTCTGCCTTTCTTAACACAAGTCGAATCTAAAACATCTACTCTCCTAATCGAATCATCAGATGGTCGACGTTTACGTTCGTAATTTAAACTCGAACTACCTCGTGCGTCGCCAAAGTTGCTCAACAGCCTCCGATAATAAAATGAACTTCGCAAACACGTCTGAAACATTAAAATTTCCCATGGAAAGGTATTATGTGATTGAAATGATAAAGTATGGCGAAATCATCAAACTATTGGAGCGATATGCAATTTGGACCTCACCGTCACCGAAACTACCTAAAATGGACACCTATATTGATGGTTTTCATGCATGAATAATCGACACATAAATCGAGTTCCGAATTTAAAGTAAAAGAAGCAATATCAAGACACATAATTTAAATGGAGGGAAATAAGAATATATATATATATATATATGTATGTATATATATATATATATACATACGTCCTTGATTATTATTCTACACTTCCCTATCTCCGCCGCTCAACTTCATTTCAACCCATGCTTCACCTCCCCATTTACCCAATTGGAACTCTTTGCTTTAAATTAAAATAGAAAAAAAAAATAAAAAAAAATCCCATCCCATTAACATTTCTCCCAATCAACAGTAGGGGTGTAAATGAGCCGAACACGAGCGAGACGAAC